CCACTGCTACCCATATAGTATCCTTCTGGAGTTGGGACCTGAGGACTTTGTGTTACAGTGGCTGCACTCTTATTCGGATGGCCATTTCCAGAAGATGGTGCTGGGGATTCCTATTCTTCCTCCTGGTGGTTGGCTTATGGAGTCCCTCAGCATTCCATTATATCTCCTATGCTTTTAAATATCTTCTAGGAGAGGTAATCTTGGAACAAGGACTGAGGTGCCATCAATATGTGAATGATACCTAGCTCTCCACAAAAGGCTGTTATGCTGGGAAAGGTAGAAGGAAAGAGAGTATAGCAACAAGGTGAATGGACTCAGTTAAGGATAATGAATGCACTATTGGAAGACCTATAAAGACAGATCATTGTGGAGAAAATATTTTTGGTTTCCAGAAGTCAGCTGTCTTGACTTCTGTTGAGTTGGTTTAATGTTGAGTTAGTTTAATGTTAGGGTTCCAAGTATTAGATCCATTGCAAGCAAAAACTCTGAGGCAGGTAGATTTCTCAAAGAATAGTTTTATTGGAAAATATCATATTGGTACATATCTGGTGAAACCAACTCTGAAGGGTTTCTTGGTTTTTACCCAATTAAAAATAAAAGTCCCCCCCCTCAATCCCAAACAATCAGTCACATGGCCCAATCAAGACAGCATCCACTGGTCTGGTGACATCACTCCTCCTTCCTCTGGCCAGGTGCGAGAACGTCCTTGGTTCCCAAGAGAAAGTATTTTGACTACATAGCTCCAGCTATCTCTCATCCCCACTCCATATCTCTCAAGCTCTAGTGTGGCAGCATTGAAGCCCCAGGATGGCTTCGGCCAGGCCAGCGTCAGGGTTGACAACAGCAAATGATCAATTAAAAAACAACAACTTTACCTCTCCTTTTTATCTAATACAGATTGAATCAGGTAGTATCGTAAGCCTGGGGTCTCCAACCTTGGCAACTTTAAGACTTGTGGACTTCAACTCCCAGAGTTCCTCCCTGGGAGTTGAAGTGCACAAGTCTTAAAATTGCCAGTGTTGGAAATCCCTGTCCTAAGCCACTGTTTGGACAGAGTGATAAACTGGAGGGCCAAAAAACTGAAACTCAAACCAGATAAGACATAGATACTATTATTCGATTATGCATTTCTATCCCAGAGTGGTCCGGCTTACTCTAAAGGAACAGTTTTGCAAGTTAGGAGATTCTCCCACATCCATCACTGCCACTAAGGTCCAGGTGTGACCTCGATTACTCAGTGTATTTTTTTAAATCAAGTTTCACTTGATTTACCAACTGTGACCTTATCTGGATAGAGACAGCCTTGCAATAGTTATTCATGGTCTGGTAATTTTTCAGTTGGATTGTTGCAATGTGTTGTTATGTGAGGTTGTCTTTGAAAATAGTCCAGAAAATTCAGTTAGTTCAAAACAAAGAGTAGCTAGACTGTTCACTGAGATTGATACGATATGAACATTTCACCATCTATACTGGCTGTCAGTTGATTTCCAAACTCAGTTCAAAGTGTTAGCTTTGATCTTTAAATCCCCAATTGGCTGAGGACCAAGTTACTTGAAGAAATACCTCTTCCTATATGTATGTACCTACCTGGACTTGTGTTAGTTTTGACCTTTAAAACCCTATACCAGAGATGGGCAATTAATTTTGCCAAAGTGCCAGATGAGAAACTGGACTGTTGAGGAGACACGAACCAATAGGGCTATGAAGGTGCGTAGGAATGCACATACACACATACGTAAATGTAAAAGCAAAAAAGATAGCAAATGCCTTCAAAATAAAAGCAATCCGTGTGGGCCAAACAGGGATAGCCAAAGGGCTAGATATGGCCCAAGGCCCATAAAATGCCCAGATCTGCCCTAAACAATTTAGGATCAGACTACCCGAAGGAACATCTTTCCTCAAACTGTATGTACCTACCTGGACCTTAAGCTTGTCTAACAAGGCCTTCCTCCAGATCCTCTCACTAAAGGAGGTGCGATGGACCTCTACAAAGGTGAGACCTTTGTGTGTGGTGGTAGCACTTCATTTGTGAAATTCCTTCCTCAGAGGGGCTTGTCATTCACATTAGCATGATCGTGTTGCCAGGTCAAGATGTCATGGCTTCTTAACTAATTTTTATTTGTATTTTAATTCATACCATGTTTCCCCCAAAATAAGACCCAGTCCTATTTTCTTTTGGGCTTGAAAATAAGCACTCCGGCTAATTTTCGAGGTCTTATTTTGGGGAAAACACAGTATTATTTTAGCTTTTGAATGACTGACTTTCAGCTGCTTAGTTTTCAAGTTTTTATCTTGTGTTTTATTGTACAGGTTTGTACTCAAAAATTGCATCTTTTAATGTATTTATTATAAACCACCCAGAAAGCTTTGGGTATTGGGCAATTAGAACATTTTCCTCCATAAAATCAATAAACCCAACCTTAGGAGAAAAAAATTCTGTACTCCTTTGCATTTTCTCTCCCTCTCATCATTATTTACAATTTTGTATTTTTCTTTTATGGACTGTGTTAATTAATTTGTTTTGTCATAAGCCATCTGGAAGACCTGGGAGTCAAAGTGAAACAGACATATTTTCAAATAAATGCAGAACATAAATACAGCGCCTAATTATGGATAAAATTGAGTCCCAAAACTTTTCAACCTTTCTAGAGTGTCCACATGCAAATAATTAGAATAATTATATAAATAAAATAAAAATAAAACCAATAAAAACGATTGCTACCAACCTGCCTTCCATTGAGGACCTGTATACTGCATGAGCCAGAAAGAGGGTTGTGAAAATATCTACAGAACTCTCATATCCCAGACATAAACTGTTTCAACTTCTACCCTCAAAATGACACTATAGGGCATTGGACACCAGAACAACTAGACACAGTGTCTGGATTCCGGCAGTGGAAGCCCTTAGGACCCCACGAAAACTATCACCCAAACAAATCCGCTGGGCTCAATATTTCAACTGATTTGACTTTGTGCTAAAACACATCCTAGGGGAGAGGAACTTTCTGGCTGACGCCCTCTCCCGCATGACCCAGTACAAATGTGAAGGGGAGGAGGTTGTAAACGCCATCACCCCCCCTCAATAGCTGCCCAAGTAACCACCAGACGACACCACGATCAGCAAGACCAACCTGCAGATGACCTAACTACGAAAATCAAAACCAAACTGAACTGCTTTCTGTTGGCAACTATAAAATGGGCATAGAAATGTTTTATGAGTTGACAGACAGCCCCCGCCCCCCAATACCATCATTCTGCTAAACAACTACTGGTAATTCCCACAACACTGTCAAAACTATCTAGTAAGGCTACATTACTCTTATTCTTCTCATCTTTCCTATTACCTATCTCCTTATCTTTTTATGACTAGAACTTTGTTGCTTATATCTTACAATTTATATTGTTTATTTAATATCCTAGTATGATTTATGTTGATTGCTTATTTAGTATCCTATGACTATCACTAAGTGTTTATCTTATGGTTGTGATGTATATATTTTTATGATGACTATGATTATGATTTATCACTTATTGCTTGTATGTACACTTATAGCTTGTGCACCAGAGACAAATTCCTTGTGTGTCCAATCACACTTGGCCAATAAAGAATTCTGTTCCATTCCATTCTTTACTCAAAGGAAAATCTCCTTGTGTTACATGAAGCTTATACTGAGGTACATAAATGAGGAATTGTAGCCTTCATTCATTTGTGGCTCTTTGAAAGGGATTACATTGTCCTGACAATGAAACCCACTGAACTCAAAAGAACATTTACAGGACAGGCCTGTGAAGAAGGAAAGGAAGCGCAATAACCACATAAAAACATCACAAGAGAGGCTTCATTTTAAAGCCACATAAAATGACAATGATTTATTTGATTAATTTGTACAAACAACCATCTAAAAACAACTGCTGTAAGGAAATAAAAAGTCCCCAAACATTTATTTGTTTCACTAGCAGTTGTTAATAAATATTTTATTAAATAAAGAAACAACATGTTTTCAAATGAGAGATGATTTTTTTTTTGTCGGTTGCTTGGTTGTTTTTGTTTTTCCCAAATGTGACTGAGAAAAGAAATACAGAGGCTGAAATAAATAATTTTTTTTTCGCTTTTGTGAAAACTATTTACAAAAACATGTACAAAGAATGGACCTTAAACAGAAAGTAACCAAAAAAAGGTCATTTATTTATAAAGGTTGGGAAGGGAAATGACCCTTGGAATATTATTCCCCTAATACACATGAAGAGGCTGAACTTATTCATGAAGGTTTTCTTCCAGAATATTTACCAACATAATCTGGAAAAGAAGACACTACAGACCACCCATATATTGTATACATACTCATTCATAAGGCAGTCTCCCCTAAGCTGGCATCCTCTGTATAAACTAGGACTACAATGCTCAGAATTCACATAATGGCCAGGAATCCTGCTTTTGTTGTCCCAACACAGCCTGAAGGTAATGGGCTCAGGAAGAAGACATTTTTTTTAATCTAGTATAGCATTAAAAAAGAGTTCCCTGAAGGAGGTTCATCAGACCCTAGAACAGGGCTGTCAAACTTGTGGCCCATGGGCCAGATGCATCACATGCTGGCCATGCCCGGTTTAGCTAAGGGGAAAAAAGTCATGATACATCAAGTGATACCTTAAGATTGACACCCCTGTCCTAGAAAGGCATATGAAGGTGGTGTAAGCATCTATATAAAAATATGCTAGGACTCTGACCTCCTGACTTCATCAGCAGGTGAAGGGAAGTTAATCTGATCCAAAAATATACTGACTGAGAGAAAAGGTAAGGATTAGAATCAGGTCTAAGTTGAGGGATGCTTGAAAACCACTCTGGTCTCTTTCGTTTCCCATTGGGATCTACCTCCACACTCATTCTACCTATATGAAACAAGGTGGTTTCATACAGTAGGACTTTGGGCCTTTTCCACCTAACAGCCAGTCTAAAACATTTCCAAGCATGAGTTCATAGATAGCAAGACAGTGAGAATCAAATTACTTAGGCACTGTGTGATACTGCGCTTTCTGTGTTCTATTGCGGCAAATTAACTTCATTCAGCCTGATTAGCAGTAAGAAGGGAAGAAACATCTCTCTCATATTCAGGGAGACCAGAAAAAAAAATACAGCTAGTCCTCGACTGCTCACTTAGCAACCACTGGAAGTTATGACAGATCCCCAAAAGCTATGGTGGCTGGAGAATTCTGGGAGCTGAAGTCCACACATCTTCAAGTTGCCAAGATTGATAATCACTGGTAAAAGGCATACACAGGTTTGTTAGTTTCTATTCTTTGGGCGGTATACAATGAGGTAAAAGTTAAGGTTGATGAATTACCATCATAATTTTATGAGATTTTAAACCAGGTAAAGACCCACAAAAATGTAGACACCAAGATTTTAACTACCCTACTGGGTAGATACTTGCAAAAGATCTATAATTCATCCTTCCAGTTGGGATTTATCCATAATTTTCAGACATCAAATAATTTGCATACATTAAGTGACATACTACATATAGTCAAGCATAAAATGGGATTCTTCTGCATTAGTATCTTTAGATGCAGAAAAAGCCTTTGGATTATTTTTTTAAATCAAGTGATGATTAGATATGGCTTTCCATGGGACTTTGTCCAGTGATTGAGTTATTATCTGCAACCTTGCACCAGAGTTGTAACAATATAAAGTCACTTTTCAGCCACAACATCCTTTTTTGAATTAGGACCTTCACCCAGTATTACATGTAGTTTTAGCTGATGGCATATTACACTTGCTGCTTGAAATTCAATACTTTTGTGAGCTCAGCTCCTTTAGTCTTCCTATATATCTTTTCCTATGAAACTTTCCTGAATGGTCAAAATTCTTTTTGAGACAACATACAACCCAACCGAAAGTCTTATTGCCGTACATGAACATCCTCAAGCTAATTGAAAGAGCAATAACATTCTCCCCATTTTGGAAACAATTCTACTTGATAGAACCTGAATTATTTACAATGGTATCAAGTTATCAATTAATGTTTGTTCCCCATAACGGTCCTCTCTATCTTTATCCTTGTACTTTTCTCCCAACAGCTCTATCCAGTGAATAATTTTGTGTGCACAATCTATGCAGAAATAGGTAACACATGGATCTACAGATGTTGAATTCCAGCTTCTGAGCCACAATGACTAATAATGAAAATGCTTACCACTGTTCAACAGAGTTGCAATTCCATGTCATTGACAAGCTGTCTACCTCTTCATCCAGATTAGTCTGACCAACATGGCTTCAAGAATGGTAGCCTTTTAATTCAACGGCAATTATTGTATCGACTTTTTATACCTTTCTGCTCCCTTCCAGATTAGAAGAAGATTTAAATTAGCATTGCCAAAACAGAAACAGGAGAAGGCACTTTTCAGAAACAAAATATCTCTATATTGGCTGAATGCATTGTTCCTGCACTTTTAAGAAATTCATTCTTCTGAATAGTTAGACTTTTTTCTTGCCTATCAAGTTGGATTAAACCATAGGAAAAGAACAAATCTTGTCCAAAAAATTGATTAAACAATTATTAGAGTAAATCTGCATGTTTGCTACTGTGACTTGGGAAATAAGATTGGCAAATTTTATTGTCAGTATTCTAGTGAATGCTATTGTCAGAATTTCTCAAACAGCGGAAGCTTAATTGTGCAATTCCATGAATTACACTAAACACAGCCAACTGCAGCTCAAATCTGTATGCCATTTATCTTGCTGTCTCTGTGCTTGTATATGGAACACTATGTATGGCCATACAAGGATATTATGTACAGCCCTGATTCTTGGATTTATAATGCTGCCTGCTTGTTTTGAATAGGAAACAGGAGATCCAGCTGAAAAAAGTACAGTATATACATAATGCTCAGTGTCTGGAATCACTGCAAAAGTTTTATAGCTGCCTTGGCAGGGAACATCTCAAACGTGTAAGGCCATGGAATTTTTGTTTTAAAAATAAGTCAAAATTCACATCTTCCTTGCAATGTGGTCAAGATAGCCAGTGGATTCAGATAAATTCATTCATACATTTTAATTCGTGTGGTGCATTTCTTTAGGAAGGAAATCTATAAACCTGTCCATGGATATGTTCCTCATTCATATACATCTCAAATAGCTTTCTTGTTAAAAAAAGAAAAGAAAAGTAAGAAATAAAAGAGGTCTGTGTCCCTGACAAAGAACTTGCAGGGGAAAAAAAAATCTGTTCCTAGAATTCATCCTTATTTTCATTCAAGATGCTCCTGTGCAATCTAAAGCCAACTTTGCTCAAAGCAGCATTTGCATCTCAAAAATCATTCCTGAACCTTTGGCCCATTTCGAAATCTTCTTCCTACGATAGCTTTCTTTTCTTTTTTCCTCTTTTTTTTCTTTTTTTAAAAAAACCTCTCTTTTTTATAAAAACAATTCAGTCTGCACATTTTGAAATCCCGATATAGCTTTCCTGACTAGGCTGTTAATGGCAGCCACAGGCTCGGACCACCATGTTTCTGTATTTCTTCAAAATGACGTTGGAGCTGTCATCGAAGTAGAGAACAGAAATGGCATTGAGTTGTGTTGGGGCACAGCAAGGCTTCGGCACGGTATCGGGGTTTATAAAGTGAACCTGGAGGCAAATAAAGTTACGAGACATCAGGATGTTTACAAGAACTTAAGCTGATTATTAAATACAAATACAACAGCACATCAGTTGGGCTATCAGAGAGACTGTAGGAATCCAGAAAACCATTAGATGGCAGGAAAGACACTGAAAACGATTCACACCTAGTGGTCATTTGAGTTTTGCAGCCTGAAATGTGGTTTTTCCAGAAAAGGACTATGGTTCTTTTCCCTCCATAACTGTTTCCCTGTTTCTACCACTTATACTTGAAAGACCTGCTTTTCTACAAATTTGGTGATCCCGGTGCAAGAATTAACAAGGCATTTTTGAACTTTGTATTGAGCAAGCTCTGTGGGTACTAGACACTGAAAGGAACAGGGTTTTTGAACGAAGTTACCACCTAGCTCTATCAGAACTGGAGCCAGGAGATCTGACACTTTGACTTCTGTACTGAGAAGACTATGATTACTGGGCTTAGAAGAAACAGGTCTTGCAGATCAACCAGAGTTGTTACATAAGGAAGTCATCAAAGGGCAGTGAGTAAGAAGGGTGAGGATAAAAGGCTTTCTGGGTAAATGTTTAGGGATAATATTATTTGCAATATATGTGTATGTTTGTGGGTATTGTGGGTATGTGGTCTATGCACACAACTCACACCCCACTATCATTAATGCAATTCCTACAGCTATAGAAAACACTTGCCTCTGTGAATTTGTGACTGTTCTTTACATATTCTTCCTAGTCTTGGGAACTGGTGATATGAAGAAATTATTTATATGAATACAATAATCATTCTCTTCCACATTTTCCTCCTTTCTCTCCTCCTCTCTTTTGTGGGGAAAGCTTTCATTGGATCATTTCATAGGCAGGAGATACAGCACTGGGTTTCCTCAAATATCTGAATTATTTTCCTAGTACTTTTCAAATTCTCATTCTTAGTGAAAATATAGTTAAAAAGGTAAAATAATTCACTTTTCATTTTTATAGTGATTTATAAATACATATAGACACATGTTAATTGGTTGAGCTTCACATTCTCCCACCCTGTCAATGTTTCCTCCCATTATTCAACTAGAAGATCCAGTTTTGGCACCTATTATTACCAACACGATTTCCTCTGATTGCATGGCAGTTTTGGGTGTTGCCCAAAGAAGACGGGTTACCACTATCAAAGTAGCTGAACTGGCTATTCCTGAACTGTCAATATAGCTGCAAGTTCTTTACTCACAGTGTCAATTGATAATTAGATCTAGTTTATAATCTTGGGGTAACTCAATATCCTCTCCCATGTATGGAATTTTAGCTCCTGATAATCTGTGATGATGGAAAATATTGCTCAAAATTTTCTTATGTCAAGTTTTTTGAGGAAATATGAGAAGTATATTGCTATGAGAAAAATGTGCTTAGTAGATATATTTGCTTAGCATGAATAAAAGCAGTATTCATATTAACAGGGCAAGAGGAGGAGAGGACAAAGACTGCTATCCTATCTAAAAATGGCGAATTGTGGATACATGATTTAAACTTGATGCTGTTACCTAGTTTGGTAATGAAAGGTCTGCAAGCAAACACCAAGCTCAGAGAGCACCAAGAACTCCACAGAGTTCACCAAATACCATCCACCCTGGTATCAGACAAATTACCAAACTGAAGATATAAGAAATGCTAACGTGTAGTTAATGATTATTTTACTTTCCTGAAATTCATATAGTTCACCTCTCTTGTAATTTCTCTTTTCATCGAATGACACAGATCAGGCTACAGAATTGTTGCAAAAGACTTTTAAAATAAACTTACCAGTGTCTGTACAATAGCATGATTTGTTGCATTCATGTAAGAGTTCAATGGAAAAGCACATTCCCCTTCGCAGTAATAAGCAGCATAACCTTCTGGAGCGATGATCCAGTCCTGGGTTAGGTGAGGCAGAGAGATGGAGAGGACTTAATGTGCTAAACAACATCATTTCCACCCCCCAAAAAATATTGAAATTTGTCTGTATACATATAGGACATTCACTTAAATGGGGATTTAAAACTGAATTGGTTAGATAATTTTGTTTTTATTTCAATTTATTTCTGTAGATTGATTCCCTCCTCCCCCCGTGTTTCTCTTTTACAAGTTGCAATAAAAGAACTATGATAAAAAGGATGGGGGTTAGGGGAGGTTTACTTTAGCTTAAAACATGCTTAGGGATTATCAAGGCCTAAATTAATGTCTCTGGTCTGTGCTATCATTTAAAGATCAAAGAGAAGGTTAGCAAAGCTTAACCTTCATTTCCTGCCACAGGCACATTAATTTATCCCTAGACCCAGTACAAGAGTATCAACCCCAATGGGTTTTTTTTAATTTCCCCGAAAGCAGTGTTTCTCAATCGCTGTAACTTTAATTGCTTCCCCTAATGCTGAACGGGGAATTCTGGGAGTCGAAGTCCACACCAAGTTGCTGAGGTGGAGAAACATTGGATTAGAATGACTTTTTTATTTTTGGTGTGGGTTTTTTTGGTTAAACTATTATTAGATTTGTATCCACTCCTTATAGTGGTTAAAATAGCAGGCTAGGAACTGCAAGACTGTGAGTTCTAGTTCCATCTTAGGCATGACAGCCACCTGGTTGACTTTGAGACAATCCTTTTCTCTCTGCCCTACCAACTAAATATGGCTTTAAAATTACTGATTATTTTGGTTTATAAATAAATTAAAAATTCTGGCATAATTCAGGAAGATAACCTTCTCTGACATCACTTCTGTCCTTTAGAATATTCTACCCCCACCCACACCCCAAAAAAACAAGCTAGGCCCCTCTGGCATGGCATTTCAAAAGAAATCTCTGTCAACTGAGGTTCGCAGAGGAACACACAACTTTGGTATTGTTCAAAGAAAACCAACTGAGAATCTCCATAGACACACAGCTTTGATGTTGATTGAAGGCCCTTCCTCTACCTTTTAACTTTAATTATTTTATTCCCATTTAAATTGCCCCCTATTGGAATATAGCACACATGTTTTGTATGCTATAATTGTACACCGTTCAGAGTGGCTCTGTGAGATAAATAGATAAATAAATTAGTGGAACTGAATCTATTACCATGTTTCCCTGAAAATAAGACCTGGTCTTATTTACTTTTGGGCCCCAATATAAGCACTAGGGCTTATTTTTTTTGGGGGGGGTGTTATCTCCCCCCTCATGTACGGGAGGCCCACTTCTTCTGCTTGCTCGGGGGTGGGGGCAGGAGGCCAAGCGACGCAGCAGTGCAGCTGCCATGAGGCAGGGAGTGGACCTGCCCCACGTGCCCTGCATTGGCTTACTTCAGGGCCATCGCAGCCAAGTCACCCACGCCCCAACACCTGCCTTGGCTTGTACCAGCTCACCACTCAGCTTCCTGCTCTGTTGTGGCCACGAGCAAATAGAAGAACTGGGCTGGTGGCCAAGTGGGCTCCTGCTCCACATGGTTGCTGGTGCTACCGCCGTGAGGCAGGTGTCAGGGTGTGGATGGCCTGGCTGCAGGGGCCCTGAGGTAAGCCAGTGCAGGACATGTGGCGCAGCTCCACCACCACCCTGATTCACCTCGTGGCCGCGGTACAGCAAAGAACCAGACAAAATGGACAGGTGGCTGGACAGTTGCTCAGGCTCTTAAGTAGGGCTTATTTGGGGGGGGGAGTAGGGCTTACATTAGGCACACATGTAAAAGACATGCTAGGGCTTATTTTTGGGGAGACAGGGTACAAGGAAAGAATGTTTTCCCTGGAATTATTTGCAAGTAACATGTAGACCTGCATGATCTTAACCTGCCAAAACAAGTTTGGCTTTTGCTTTCCTACAAGCGGACATAATAGGAAAAGGAATTTCCTCACGTTACACACTTGAGAATAAATAGGCTTAAAGCACAATGGGGATCTCTAATTCCAAGCAAAAAAAAAGCTAGCATTACCTGCCAGCCAAGATCCCTGAAACTGACATAGAGTTCATGTTTCTTGCAAGCTTGCCTCTGATCATTGCTGCTGTTTTCTGAGTTGGAGAGCATTGGGCAGAAAAAGAAGCAAAGCAAAGTTAGACCAACTGTCTTGCAGCAATCAGTCTGGCAATGGTATTAATAATGTATGCATTAGGGGACTAGCAAAGGGAATGTAGTTACATTCATACATGACTTTTAGAAATATTTTTTTCTAAAATAATGACAATATCTATAAACAGTGTAATAAAATTCCATGCAACCTTAGAAGGCATTTATGTATCTCTCAGCCCTCTCCCCCCCCCCCCCAGCCCCCGGTTACTGTTGTGGGGAAAGTAGGAGGAGGAAGGAGTATTAGGTAAGTTCACCATCTTGAGTTATTTACAAAAATAATAAATGTGGAATATAAATAAATAAAGCAATAAAAAGGATGCAAAAAATTAATCCATAAAAGCTATATATTAATGGTTCTTTAATATTCTTTCAACACATTAATGTATTGATCTGAATTCTATAAACATTTAAACAACAGGTGTAGTAGAAAGGTGAAAAGAGTTTGAAGAAAATTTGAGAAAGCATAGAATCTCTACACTGCAGCACAGGTGCAATTCCTAATAATTCCAATAACTTCCTTCCTTTCTTCCCTCCCTCCCTTCTCCCACCCCTTGCTCCCTCCTTTCTTTTCTTCCTTCCTTCTTTCGTTCCGCCCTCTTCCCTTTCTTCCCAAGCACAAAATTGTGGTGATGACCAAACATAAAACTGCCGTACACTGGAAACCAAGACTGATAAGGTTCCTTCATGGAAGTGTGACTGGGTACATATTCTATAGCTTTCTCTGCATAATACAGACATTGTCTATAATTTAGGGGCCTTCAACCTTGGCAACTTGAGGACATGTGGACTTCAACTCCCAGAATTCCTCAGTCAGCCATGTTGGTTGGGGAATTCTGGGAGTTGAAGTCCACAAACCTTAAAGTTGTTAAGGTTGGAGACCCCTAGCTATATATTATTGTTGCAATACTGTGTGACAATAAAAATTCAGCCCCTTGGTCTACTTTTCCAAGTCTCATACCTGAGGAGCCCAGGATATAGTCCTTAGCTGTAAGAAAGTGACCTCCAGATGAAACATTTGGAGCAAGACACTTTTTCTTTTCTACAGTGAACACTCAAAGCAACATCCCTATTTTGTCCTGAATTCAAAGGGTTATTTTGTTTCAGATCTAGAATGCTCAAAATGGCTGTTCAGACCTAAGAATCTTTTACACACTCCAACTGTGCAATGAAGTTCATTGTGTTTGGTAACTAGCTGGTTGCAGAGAAACATTTTTGCAGGATTCTCAACATCTAAGCATGTTCACAGCAGAAAAAATAATGCTCAGATTTCATTTCTTCCCAGCTAAGACAAAAACAATTTAGGAAGGAAACAAAAGTACCAGAAACAACTTTATTTTCTTAACTTAATCCCCAAGATTAATTTTATGGAAATCACAAACCTAATGTTAGCGTACCTCCAAGATTTGACACTCGAAAGGCTTCTTGATTTTTAGGTGCCTTTGAACGGTTTTGGTTCCGCTGTTTGCCTCCTGTAGAACGGATGCTTCGGAAACGTAATCCAGTAGCTTTGAAAAAGGCCACCGTAAATGGCTGCTTGTTTTGTGGACCATGCCTTCCAATGAGACCAGCGAATTTGGGATTAATGCTTTGCCCTAAGTGGAAAGAGAAAGAAGAGGAGAGTGGCAAATTAGTTTTGCACGTGAATGTTGCTTATTTTCCAGTTATGCTAGTAATAACGGAAGCCTCCAATGTTCAGGAAGATAGAACATGCATGGTTGATACAGCTAACTCTGCCCACAGCCAGGAATTCGATCCTGATGGGGACCAAGGTTGACTCAGCCTTCCATCCTTCCAAGGTTGGTAAAATGAGGACCCAGATTGTTGGGGACAATATGCTGACTTTGTAAACCACTGAGAGTGTGCTGCAAAGCACTCTGGAATGGTACATAAGTTTAAGTGCTATTGCTATTAAACATGGAAATTAATGCAAGATTTCATACAAAAAATGGCTCAATTAAAAAAAAACATTTTCCATTTTGAAATTTGCCATTCCTGAAGCAATTACCTCTATTGAAAGCTATGTTACTCCAGGCCAACTTCAATTTTAATTTCTCCTATTCTTTGGTTTTTTTAAAAAACAATGTGGTGGGGGAAGTTTCTTGAGTTCAACCATTTATAATTTAATGTGCTCCTGTTTTTTAAAAAAGAGACATAAAACTAAGTCCAACAGAACACTACATTCTCCTGGGAAAGCTATTAGTTGAAAATAAAAATGTCCTGAAATAAAAGCTGGTGTGTTTCCAGAAAACATCCATTTGAGAGGTGGATAGAAACAGCCTTTTCTTATTAAAAGACATCAAAATAATTTTTTTAGTCTTATGTAAACAAAGATGATTTTGAGGACTACTGCAACAGTCTTCACATGGGGCTACTTTGAAGGCCACTTTAATGCTGCAGTTGGCTCAGAATATAGTGGTCCATTTGCTGGTTAGTGAACCTACATTAATGGCCATGACAGGTGTTACAAATATGTTTCTGGGTACAATTCACACTGCAGGTTACATCCTATGAAGCCCTTGGGGCTCAGCTCCAAGTATTAGTGGGATCTGTCCAATATGACTATCCCAGAAGAAGCTGCTAATGGTTGTCCATTTTTGAGGAGTAAAGTTGAGGCCTGAAGATCTGTGATGGCTCCTGGTCATGGAACAACCTCAGCTTGGAAGCTAGATTAGACCCCTGTCTAGTAGCCTTCCAGAGATTGGTGAAAGTAGAGTGTATTGAGGGACTTAGGATTTATTAAAAATCCGACAGGTCTCTTAAGTCTATCTTAATGGTCAGGAAAGTGGATGTCAGACAGGATACACGAATGTTCTACATGTTTTAGAGATCTAGCCCCCAAGTTAGTAGTGTGAGGGATCCTATCAGCACTTTATGAGACACTTCCAAAATCCCACCATCATTTAACTGATCAGGATAGAAGACCAGAAAACCGTCTGATTTTTCAGAGGAAATTTATTCATACCACTTCCAAATAATAACAGCATCCAATGGTTTTCTCTAAGGCACGCTGTGATCACCAGAAATATGGCAATTGTTTAGCTCCCTATCATACTCATTTAGTCAATAATGCTTATAATATCAGTAATATTTAATCTGTTAAGTTGTTCAGTAATGCTGGGCCAAATCGTTCATTTTGAAATACTGGAAGTAAAGATTTGGAAACATTTGACAGAGGATTTAGCAGCTACTGTTTTTCTTTCTTAAACAGCATTTTATAGATAATTTAAGAAATAGATTTAATTTAATTTAATAAATCTTTTCAGTCAGTGGTCCACAATCTTTGCAGCTTGGTGGCTTAGCTCTGGGGGAGAGAGGGGAACTGGGCCACACAAGCAGTGGGATGACGCACTTGCCTGCACACTGACTCACCATTCATGTGAGCGTAGCTGCATGTGTGCATGTGCACCGGTCCAGGTCTCATGCAGCCCGATTCCAATAAGCCATGGCCCAGTAGTGGGCTGTGGCCCAGGGGTTGGGGAGCCCTGTTTTAAGTAAAAAAAAAAAAAGCTCTTATTCCTATCAGTAGTAACTCCCTATCTTAGGTTCTAGTCTCATTATAGTGGAAGTTCCTTCGCAGTCACTCTGATGGGTTCTCATGAAGACTTTAGAGAAGAAGATAGTTGTATTAAGTTTAAAGCAATACCCTTCATTCAGATGAAAAGATGCAAATATGCTTTAGACTAGCTATGGCTTCTGAGTCTACATTCATTGAACATTTCCTTAGCTGTGGTGGCTGATAAACTGTGCGGGATTTACTGCCAAGCATGTATGTCTAGAATCAAGCTGCATAAGAGTTTTCTTCAAATCGCCACAGTAATGAGACAAACAGGATATGAACCAGTATGTAAGAAATCAAGTTAACTTTACAAAGTCAGCTATTGCTCCAATATAATGTCAGGAAGGAAAGCAGATAACAGAATACCCGAGGCTAATGGATTACTTTAGCCTTTCTTGCATTGCTTCATTTAACCAAACTTTCTCAGAATAAACAAAAACTCACTAAAATTCGCTCTTTCCCCTCTCTTCTCTCTCTCTCTCTCTCTCTCTCCCTCCCTCCCTTCCTTCCTTCCTTCCTTCCGCCATTGTTCCTTCCTTCCTTCTATCTACCATTGTTGAATTTAATTATCAAAGAATAGAAATTGTGATCTATATACTATGTCTATAACCTAACCTGGGTGGAACAGTGCATTATAGGGCAACAATTTTTGAATCAATTTAACTCAATTGGGCGAACTTAACAATGTGTCCAAAATCCAGGACACATGACTCCCATGGAATTGAAATCTGGAAAAAGCTGTAGTGCTAATGTACTGCCATCCAGAAGTTCAATAGACCACTTCCATCCTAGCTTTCTGGAGGCTGGGTAGATCAATCCCACCAATGGCTGTCAAAGGTAGTCAACCATGAGAAAAGCTATCAGGAAGTCAGAAATCATTCTCATTCTCATTGATTTTCTGCCCTTGGTCATTCTGTTTCCCTGTTTAAGTAAGAAAATGTCTCTGAAATATTGACCAAATAGATCACTGTTGTCTAGTTCCTATTTAACGTGAGCTTATGTTTCAGATATAATTTCAAAATGCCTTCAAAACCATTCCATCCAGACTCAAATCTCCATGGGGTGAATGAAATGGTCATAAGTGACACCATGTCTAATACAACTGGTAATTGTCCCAAGCACAAATTGTAAAAGATTTGCCAAAATGTTATTTTCTGATACTCACCATCTATACTCTCCACTGATAGCTGTAGGCCAAGATTGTGCTGTGGATTTACCACCCAGTGATTACTAGTTGCTGTAATATCAAATACTAGCCAACCTTCTTCTTCAGCCCAAATTGTACGAGTATCAAGTAAGAACAAATCTGAATCCCTAGAGACACAAAATAAAAAGAAAATGGGAGATAACATCTTTCAAAATTTCTAGAATTAAAATTAAGATTTTGTGTGTGTGTGTGTGTGTGTGTGTAAGGCACATGGCTCAGTGGTTAAAGACACTAAACTTGTCAGCTGGGGAGCTGACAGCCCAAGTTTGAGATGTGAGCACAACGCAATGGGATGAGCTCCTTGCTCCAACTCCTGCCCACCTAGTAGTTTGAAAGCATGCAAATGCAAGTAGATCAATAGGTACCTCTTTGGTGGGATGGTAAAAGCATTCGAGCACCTTTGGCATATAGCCATGCTGGCCACATGACCATGGAAATTATCTTTGGACAATATTGGTTCCTTTGGTCAAGAAATGGAGATGAGCGCCGTGCTTAACAGTTGGACATGACTGACAGGGAAAACTGTACATACATACATACATACATACATACATACATACATACATTTTAAAGAACAAACATGCTTAGATCACAACATGTGGTGCAGTGTAAAGAATTTTGCTTAAAAATACAATTTGCAATGAACTGAAACCATAATGCAGGAAATGTAGTTAATAATTTGTCTAAATGTAACACTACGAACAATTTATTGAATATGAGTCCCTCCCCTCCAATATTTTCAGTTCAAGTTATTTTGGCTATTGAACAAATATCTTATGAATTTATAGAATAAGCACAAGCAGCCCTTGTTTAAGTTTTATTCTACTAAATATAAAACTGTCTATACAAAATTCTGAAAGCCAGGTTGGAATAATTGTTAAAGTGTGTAAAACATTCATGAAGAAGGAATCTGAGGGAGATCAACCTCAATGGCATCCAACTTTTCTTTCCTAGGATCCGGGGAATATTGACTAAGATTCTCAAGCCATTATGAGTAGAATTTTCTTTGCCTTTGCCTGTGTTTCAGATGGATGGATGGATGGATATGGATGGACAAAGTGACAGATGTTAGAATCTCCTATGTCACTCTTTGTCCACTGAAGCCAATGGCCAATAGTGTGGAGAAACCCACAAATCCTAAAATAAATACTGGGTTATATACATCAACTGTTTTGAATGAGGATATCATCCCATCAATCCTTTCTCAATTCTATGGATTATATCATATATCATGTCATAGCATGTCATATCATATCATATCATATCATATCATACTTCTGTGTCCTTTTTCATGCTCATTTTTGGAGTGTGGTGACCCACATGGTATTCTAGAGCTTAATAGTGTCCTTAATTCCCACCCCAGACAAACTGTACATTCCTCATACAATCCCATTTATAGTTAATATAGGCCACTTGGAAGTTGTAACCATTTGTGCAAGGTTGATAATTGGATACACCAACATACCAGCTTCATTTACTGATTTGCATCATCTTGCCAAATATCCTGTGAACACGTCTGCATAGATATTTGCGTAACTAAATTACTTTGTGTGGGTTCCAGCTGAAGCAAAGATAAGCCCATCTGTGTGGTTATGAAAATCTTAGGGCACTACTATCAGTAGAATGATAGTACAGGGTTTTATAGATAAAAGAAGCACCAAGCCACAAAGCATACTCATTTTAAAAAAAAAGGCAGAGGTATGGAATTAACATTCAACAAAGGACTAGAGCAACCTTAAGAGGAAGCACAAAGATCAAGCAAGAATATCATGAGGTCTGAGACAGAAGCAATATCTAGGTTACTTCTTTCTAATCTGGGCAGTTACGTATGTGAGTTGCTTCCTTGAACAGGGCAACTTCTGGATCATCTACAACAAACCTAAAGTCTCACCTCTGGGATTGCCACAAGACCGGATGAAGGAGAACACCAACACGATGGTAAGCACTTTCTCTTGCAAGTTTTCAACAACAGGAATACATTAAGCAAATTCAGCTGTGATCAACAGGTTACCCATTCGAAATTAAGTCTGGGTGAAGTGTTACTAAAATCAACTGAGTTTTTCTAAACAGGCTAGTAAGCTCTCTTGTTTCAGCCTTTTAAATAGAATAGAATAGAGCAGAATAGAATTCTTTATTGGCCAAGTGTAATTGGACACACAAGGAATTTGTCTTGGTGCAAATGTTCTCAGTATACATAAAAGAAAAGATACATTCGTCAAGAGTCAAGAATCATAAGATACAACACTTAATAATAGTCATAGGGTACAATAAGCAATCAAATCATACTAGGAAACAGTCGATATAGATTGTAAGGATACAAGTGACAAAGTTACAGTCATACAGTAACAAGTGGAAGGGGATGGGTGATAAGGAGTGATGAGAAGGTTAATAGTAATAGTAGTGCAGACTTTGTAAATAGTTGGACAGTGTTGAGGGAATTATTTGTTATGGCGTTCGGGAAAAAACTGTTCTTGTGTCTAGTTGTTCTGGTGTACAGTGCTCTATAGCATCATTCTGAGGGAAGGAGTTGAAATAGCTTATGTCTGGGATGTGAAGGGTCTGTAAATATTTTCACAGCCCTCTTTTTGACTCGTGCAGGATACAGGTCCTCGATGGAAGGGAGGTTGGTAGTAATTGTTTTTTTTTCTGCAGTCCTAATTATCCTCTGAAATCTGTGTCTGTCCTGTTGGGTTGCAGATGAAAACTAATGAGGCAATTATCATCAAGGTTTTATGGGTATCACACTAATACTCAACCATCTGGCAGAGCAGAGGTATTCATATTTTTTGTGCTGGTAAATTCTGAAAGCACTTTACGGGCATTTTTAGAAATTACCAGGCATTGTAGATGGGATTTACCAGAAGGAAAGCAAAGGAGAATATTCCCAATCACCTGCTTTAGTTTTCTTACATGCTCTTTGCCACTTCTGCTGACCTTGTCCTATTCTGGGAAGATTATGTATTGGGTTGCAAACTCCTTATCATTTTATTTCATAAGAATGTTTCCATATTATAGGGTATGAAGAGTCAGGAAGCACTCTTGAGACTACAGTCTTTAAATGGGGCTACAGACTTGGCTTTACAGCATGGCATTTTTACATGTGGTTTTTAATTAAAAGTAATTGAGCTAAGCATGGAACCTGCCAAACATGAAGAACAGATCCTCTGACATACCGGAGGACCAAAATAACAGGAATAACGTTTCTATCTCATCAGTTCCATTATAGTTTCATGCTGGCCCACCTGAAACCCATCTAAATATTCAGGTTTCTAGGTGTAATAGAAAGTCCATTGGATTTTTTAGAAGAATATTTGTATATGTATGGAAGAGATGAACAATGTCCTATTTTTTTTTATAAAAAAGTATACACAATAAATTCTGAAAATATAGAATCAGAAGGTGGAACCCTACATCTACCATAATGAGGTTATTTTATGTACACTGAAAGCATTTGCATCAAGACAAATTCCTTGTGTGTCCAATCACACTTGGCCAATAAAGTATTCTATTCTATTCTATTCTATTCTATTCTATTCTATTCTATTCTATTCTATTCTATTCTATTCTATTCTATTCTATTCTATTCTATTCTATTCTATTATTTGGTTATCTTCATGCTTTAACAAATCAAACCCAAAAACATCAGGCATTTTGAACACCAATTCACTTTCTAACAGCTTCCTAGATTTTAACAGAAATCATTGTAGTATCTTCCTTATTCCATTCTGATAATACCACAACACATTGCTCAATTTAGCAGGAAAGAAACCACTTGAAGAGAAAGCCAAAAGAAATACTGCTAGAGTGCTGTTCTAACTGCTAAAGCATACCTGACCTTAATCTTGGGGGAATGATTATTTTCAACTTAATTTGACTTTTGGACAGGTTATAATAATATAAATACATGCAATGATAGTCTGATGGCCTTTTTAAAACAAATAAAGGCCAATTACAGCTGTGTTGCAAGGCTATGCACACACACACACACACACACACACACACGTTTTCTTAAGTTTTCGCGGGTATTTATATGTATGGTATTCAGCTTTGTTCAGGTATTTTCCCACGTCATTATAGTGGTGCTTTAAAAGCACCACTATAATGACGTGGGAAAATACCCGAACAATATATAAGCTATTCTGGATCAGACTAACAATCAGAATGGTTTTCCATATCCTGTGAGGCCTCCAGATACCAAGACATAAATACCCAGAATTTTCAACTAGTCTAATCATTGTTGATTGCTGCAGGCTGGATGATTACTCTAAATATTTTATAATATTTAAAACCTACTGTCCTCTATCAATGAGGGGAGGTACGGCTTGGGAGGATTTGGACTGAGAATGACAATCTGATACTCCCCCCCCCCTCAGTCTGGTGGGTTATAATCTCTAAAAGCAGCTAAAAGGTTTTCTGGGATCAGGCCCTTTGCTTCAAAACCCCGAGAGACGTAAATTTAATAGGGAAAGCATAGATAAAACTATCAGGATTGGTTTCATTTTTAAAATTACTTTTAGTGCTGTTTTGTTTAGTTGGAAATTCTACCTTTAGTCTTCCCTTTGACTCCCTGCATTGTTATGAGTATGTGTAGAGGTCACTAGCACCCATGAACTAGTTGGGCCTGAGAAAAAGACTTATTTTAAAACTGAGACTTATTTTAGAAGTGAGAAAAATAGGTCTCCTGCTCTACTTAATTCAGGTTCCAGCTGAATGAGATCTCTAGGATTATATCTGGCCAAAAAAAATGATGGACAGTCACAAGATGGCAGCAGAGAGAGATGCTTTTCTGTGCTTCTGATCCATGTCATGTATGCAATTCAGATCAAGAACATGAAATGATAATTTAAGTATCTGCTTTCATATCCAGGCACCCTAGGACTCAGATCTGTCTGTCTTTCTATCTATCTAGACGTCCACCCATTTTTAGGACTGCCCATCTCCCTCACAACTCTGGATAATTGGGGCAGAGATGCCAAGCTGATCTTTGAAAAGCTTTTGTTACATTTTATGACATTGATCCTCATATAACAGCCAGCTACCAGAGGGTTTTTTTTAAGGAGCTGGGGAAATATTCCGAGTTCCCAACTGAAAGATCTTTCTGTAGATATTCAAGCACAAGATAAAGTAATGTGATGTAATCAATTTGATCAGCAAATCTGATCAAGATGAAAATACTTAACAATTTAAAAAGTACTTTCCCTAATAAAGTCTTAATCCTATCTGTCCTCAATGAATTTTTATCTTTAGAGAACTTTTTCTGCACCTGACAATTGCTTCTCCATTTTCAAAAGAATCCTAATGTACTATAGAGATGTTACATACACCGCAGAATGCATATTCAGATAATCTGGAGGACAAGGACTAACTCTTGAACGGCAATCTTGATTTAATAAAAAGCATATCTTAAGACAAGATCTTAAGATCATAATCTCGTGGGGCTTGTGGACAAATCTGAAATTATGAAAGAGACATTCTTATAAATGGCTGCCATGATTGCTCATTACTTTATAACAATTTTATTATATATGTGAGGCCCAGAAACATTCCTGGAAATGAATTGTGCTTCAGGCTAGCAATCTGCTTTATGGCGTGCTATCATTTCACTCTCTTTTTAAATTAAAATCGTATTTTAGACAAATCAGATAGCATAGGCAGCCTCTGGGAGCCCCAAGGTGTGTAAGCAGCATGTGGAAGACCCAAGTGTGGCTGCATCTCAGAAAGACTGATTATGGTACAGCAGCCAGCCACTTTTCAAGAAAATGTGGCAATTATTTCTGATCATCTCATCAGAGTGCCCCACTAAAACAGTTGCTGGCTGCTAGAGTCTTTCTGAAGATGTATGGTTTTGAGAATATTTTGCATTGCAAATGGAACAAAAGTGTCCTGTATATTCTTAAAATAAATACTACACACGAGACAAGGAACTCCATGTCAGCCCTTCAAGGCAGGCCACCCTAAGAAACAGACACCACAAGAAAATTAGAATTTTATTTTATTATAGTGACAGAATCTTAAAGGTTTGGCAGCCTTGTTCTTCCCTCCCTCTTCTATTAAGGCTGTCAAGATGGAGCAACCTTGATTTTCTTTCTCATGCTTCCTTGTTTTCCTGGGCTAAATATTTTATTAACAATTGCCGCAGACCTTCTCCAAGGTCATCTATGACCTTCTCTAGATTTAAGAGTAACAGTAGTTAGTTATAAGGGTAAAAACCCCAATTCTACCCAATCACATCTGGCCTCTTCATAAATTATCTGTAAGGTAACAAGTAAGACATCTGCATGAATTCTGCTGTCAGACAGAGCAATCTGCTAATTGATCAAGGACATTCTTCCATATTTCTTGGGTGGTCTTTTGAAAATTGGGGCATCAAACTCTCCCTTCCCTTTGACAGAGTCAACTTAGAAACAAACACAAAGCTTTGTGGCTTCTCTACCAATTTGTACCAAGACCTCAATGCTTGTCAGCCAGGCTCTAACGTTGAAATTCATTGATGAGCTTTCAAATCAAGGATCAATAACAGGAAGCATGGATGACAAAGCACAACACTCAGCCTTAAATGTTGAGATCTGATGTGGAATTTCCAGGGTTTCATTTGACTTGCTTGATTCGACCATCTTCTATTACTCACAAACCTACTTCATGAATGTTTACTTTTTGGGGGAATGGGGCAGACACTTCTTGAAAATTACAACTTGAGTTAACCTTATATGGGAAAAAGCTACCCCTCCCCCTTTTTCATTTCAATTCCCTTGTTGAAATGAAGGCATGGCATGGCTCAGAGCAGGCCATGAGTCAGCTGTACAATGCATCTGTTTTCCTGCAGTTACTTAGATTCTTATGTACACAACAAGCCTGGAGGGAAACCCTCTCAGGAAGAGAGATCAAAGGGAATCATCTTTCCCACACTTATTTGGAACTTTTCTGTCCTGGTATCAGCAGCAATAGTGGATTAGCAGCCTTGGAAGAAGAGTGTCCATTTTATGGAAGTCATTTCAAACTAAATAATTTGTTTGCTTCACCTCCTATTTTTAACCCCAAAATTAGACTTGATTTATTGTTTATTCAGGATACTAAACAAAGATAAATTAAAAAGGAAAGGTATGCCAATTAATACATTGAATATCTGCCTGCCTGCCTGCCTACTTACTGTGGTGGCACAGTGATTAGAATACAGTATTGCAGATTAATTCTGCTGACTGCCAGCAGTTCGATTCTCGAGGGCTTGTAAAGCACTGTGAAGTAATGTCTAAATGCTATGATATCTATCTATTGATTTACAGAAGACATGTGTCTTGTTTAGAAGTAAATTGTAGGAAGGTTTGAGCAGCATAGCCTACTCTTACCTCAAAGGATTTCTCTTTGGAGGAAGATTAGAAGCTCCTGAGATACCTTCACTATGACCCCCTAAATGGAATAGGCAGCTCCTATTTATTTAGAGGAGATCCTTCATCTCTGTTTCCTGAGACAGCTCTTTTGGTGGGATAAAATCAATAGCAATAGCAATTAGACTTATATACCACTTTACAGTCCTCTCTAAGCAATTTACAGAGTCAGCCTATTGCCCCCCACCAATTTGGGTCCTCATTGTACCCACCTTGGAAGGATGGAAAACTGAGTCAACCTTGAGCCTGATAAGATTTGAACTGCCAAATTGCAGGCAGCCAGCAGGCAGCAGAAGTAGCCTGCAGTACTGCACTCTAACCACTGTGCCACCTGGCTCAATGGGATGCCCATCATCAGCAAAAGAGATGGTAATAGCTAGGCAAAGGAATACCCTCTGGTGTTACCTAGTTTGGTCATGAAACATCTGCAAGAAAACCACCAATGAAGGCAAATATCAATGTCTCAGGATAATGTTGCAGGATCCAATCTGGGTCCATCACAAGGACCAGAAATTTAGTCTTCTGAACTTTCAGACTTGTGCTACAGCTGAATGAGGATGCGCTCTAGCATGAATCCAAACGCTTGGAAGATTAAGCCTCTAGGTCAGGGGTGTCCAACCTTGGCAACTTTAAGACTTGTGGACTTCAACTCCCAGAATTCCTCAGCCAGCAAAGTTGCCAAGGTTGGACACCCCTGCTCTAGGTCCTCGTGATGGACCAGATTGAAGCCTGCAAAACCACCAAGCTCAGACAGCACCAACGGCTTCAGAGGAATGCTCTCTTGAGAAACAAATTGGCGTGAGAGTTATTCATCAGTGGCAACTCTACAAAAGCTTCTCTTCTGATCTCCAGTTGAGCATCTTAGTTGCTGATACACTGATGTTGACCTTTGGCCTAGCTTTAGAGTCTGCTTACAGCTAGACCTTTTGTTTGAACTCCTGAATGAACTTTAGATTGCTTACTGGCTCTGATATAAGTAACTGATCTGAAAACCTGACCGGGTTACAGAACAGACACAACAAATAGCTAAAGTTTCCATCCATATTTTACATGCCACCAACCACATCATTATTAAAATGTCTTACAGGCATTGCAACACTTCAAGTAAACAGAATCATAGAATCAGATGGGATTGTTGTTTTCAGCAAGTCTAGAGAAAAGAAGGACATGATAGCAGTATTCCAGTATTTGAGGGGCTGACACAAAGAGGAGGGGGTCAACTTATTTTCCAAAGCACCAGAGGGCAGGACAAGAAACAACAGATGGAAACTAATCAAGGAGAGAAGCAACCTGGAATTAAGGAGAAACTTCTTAACAGTGAGGACAATTAACCAATGGAACAGCTTGCCTTCAGAAGTTGTGGGTGCTTCATCAGTGGAGGTTTTTCAAGCTGGACAGCCACTTGTCTGAAATGGTATTAGGGTCTTCTGCTTCAGCAGAGGGTTGGATTAGAAGACCTCCAAGGTCCCTTCCAGCTCTATTCTGATTGACTCCTCAGTGTGGGACACACTGACAGATCCTCTGCTCAAACAGTGACGGCGAGTCTACACCCATCTGGATAATTGATTCCACTATCCAGTATCCAGTGCTCTGTTACTATTTTCTAACTTTCAATTGGAATTTGCTTTCCTATATTTAAATCTATCTTTGGCATGTCACTGCTAAAGTCCACCATATTAAGCCATCCTCAAGAAGGGTAAGGAATTTCAACATGATTCAGATAGGAGGAGATCCTGCAACTCCGGCCATTCGGATAGGCTGAAAATAAGACCATTCTGAAAGTTTAGCAAAATGAGTCCTGTTTGGCAAGCCATGGAGGAACTCAGTGGAGCTGAAGCAACAGAGCCACCAAGCTGTCTTTTACTCTGCATGGAATGGGCCTAATCTTACTACCTATTTCATAAGCAAGTTCTACATTAATTAAACCAACTGCTCTTCAAAGGCTTACACCTCAATTCTTGATTAGTACTTCAAAGCTAAATACATTAAATACACAAGTGTAGTTGCATTTTAAGGGGGATAATTAAGTTGAACAGAAACAGCCTCTGGAAGTCAAGTGCTAAAAACAGAGTTTCCATATCATCTCAACAAAGGAAGTTTCAGAAGATCTCTTCACACATTCAGCCCTGAGTCTTTAGATGAGGAGATACTAAATAATAAGCATCACAGGCATACACTCTCTCTCTCATCTCTCTCTTTCTCTTTCATCTCTCTCTTTCTCTTTCATCTCTCTCTTTCTCCCTCCCTCTCTCTCTTTCTCTCTCTCCCCCTCTCTCTCTTTCCCTTTCTCCCTCTCTCTCTCTTTCTCTTCCTCTCCCTCATTACAGGAACTACTGAATTATATTTCATTCTACAGCCTCTTAGGTTTCCAGCACCAACTCAAATGAGGTCTTTTAGTCACTCACCTTCCTGCATGTTCTTGGAGGACCTGGTAGACACTGATTTGGAATGTTTCATTATCAAAACGTTCTCTAATGTAGTCCTTGTAAATTCGAAACTCAGCTGAAGTTACTGCTTCACCCTCGGGGATCCTAGAGAGATCAAATCGGAACTCGCGACGATGACTGCGCTGATGATAAAACTCCTTGTCATGTTCCACTGCAGAAAGAAAATCAAATTATTGGCTCCAATAATTTTTCAATGACCCATAAAATATCCAATGGCAGAATTAACATCTATGCATTCACAAAGAAAATGCCTGGTAGAAAAGAGAATGTATCCATGGGATAGGAGGATATTACTACTCACAACACATTTTAAATCTTTGCAGAAACTTTGCGAAGTACTGGTTATTCAAATTAGATGGACATGCCAGATGTTGGGAAGGATCTGTTCACTCTTGCTCCCTAACTGAGAAACCAAGCCAATCCAGTCTGAATTTCAGACTCATAAACCCTAACTAAACTAAAAAATATACACTACAATATAGTACCTAGTACAATATATATGTACAATGTATACAATACAAAGTACAATATAGAGGATGATAAACCAGATATACATTACTGATCATCTCCGGATCTCCTGTAGACTTTAGAATATTGCTATTCCTAACAGTGGGCAGGCAGAAATGGGTTTAATTGGCCCATCTTGGTATCCACTCTCACTGAAGTTTCTGGGAGGGCATTTAGCAGGGTAACAAACTTAAGGCTCAGGGGCTGGATCCAGCCCACGGGGTGCTTACATCTGGCCCGTGGGGCCACCCTGGAAACAGTGAAGGACTGCCCGTGGTTCCCCTGCCAGCAAAGTGGAGCTCAGGACGATTGTGGGGGGCCCTCCTGAGCTCCATTTTCGCTGACAGAGGGTTGCAGGAGGCTGTCGCAGCCGACAACAGAGCTCAGGAGCCCGTTTTTGCTGGCAGAGAGCTCAGGCCAGCACAGGTGCCCTGACATGAATGACATCAAGCTGGCTACGCCCACTCTGGCTACATCCACCCTGATCAAATACAACCCTGATGCGGCCCACAATGAAATTGAGTTTGACACCCCTGGCATATAGGGCACACCAGCTTTTCTAGTTAGATTTTTTTTTTCAACCACCAGATAGAATGCAAAGGAACTCTGGAATTATTATTATTATTTTTTTATTAACGTTGGGAGAGCACTAAAATGAGGCAGAATCACAATTGATGATGGTACTTAACTAGCTGTGGCTGATCTCAAGAAAACTAAATAGGGTCAGCGCTGAATACTTCTTGGAGAAAAGGGATGTGAGAAATCTCAAGATTAGAGTGGGAATTGGAAAAAAAAACATACTGGAAAAAGGAGGTGAAGGAACACACCACTTCATTTTTTATTTTTTTTGCAGAGAAATATTTCTTCAGGCAACTCATGCTTAAACTATGGAATTTGCTTCTAGAAGATATATAGACCATGGCCATTAATACAGATGGCTTTAAAATGTGGTATCACTCCATAAACACTCTTATGTTATTCTCCATAAATTTGTCTCTCAACAGTTGTCCGATGACAGATGAATCATATGTATTGGAAAAAGTAATAGAAACAATAACCAAAGAATTTCAACAATTGCTATGATTCAAAAACAATCTTTTTCTATAGGAACAGTATTCAAACTCTTTGCACGGTTCAGGCCATGTTGTTTCTATCTGTTCTTTTTGTGTGTGCAATCAATGGATCAGTTATCATAGTTTATTTTTCTGACTGGGTGAGAACTAACTTTCATACCAGCTACCAATCACGAGAGCTATGCATTACCCCCAATTACCATTTCCCTCAGTCTGCACTCAACTTCTGACAACTCATGGATCTTCCCACAAAGTTTTCTTAGCAACAGTAAGGAAACAGTTTCCCATTGCTGCTTCTGGGATTACCCAGGGTAATCTTATTCTCAGGATGATTTCTATTCAGGCCTGATCCTGCTAATATTTTCAGCTAAGACAAGATCAACCAGGTGCTGCCACCTGCTGAGACAATATGGCTCTCCATATAGTTGTTGGAGTGATAATTGAGTGTATTTTCTTGTGAATTTCCACATCAATATTTATTATTATGGTTGGTGGCACAGTCAGCCAGATAGTTAGACTGAATTTGGCATTTTTATCCACCTATCAGGTTCTTTCCAAGGAGTTGGGGGTAGGCAGATGTTATTGTTCGATAGTGTCAAACATATTGTCACAGGATGTAAGCTGTTACAAGGTAAAGCTGCCTTTTGCAATTGACTGATGGTGATTTTGTCAATATTGGTGCTATTCTAAGTGGTGCTTCCAATGTTTTGAGATCGCACCCAAGGCACCAATTACTATTGCTACTATCTTTGCTTTCTTTTGCCACAGTTGTTCTATTTGCTGGTCTTTGTATTTTGTGTTTTTTTTCCCAGTTCTTTCTCTAAGATGATGATTATTATTAGTGGAATACAAACAACTGCAACACAATAAAAATACAGTTGTGGTTATACTGTGAGAAAAAAATCTACATTCTTTTTTTTTTTTTTTTTTTTAAGAATAGAATTCTTTATTGGCCAAGTGTGATTGGATGCACAAAGAATTTGTCTTGGTGCAAATGCTCTCAGTATACATAAAAGAAAAGATACATTTGTCAAGAGTCAAGAATCATAAGGTCCAACACTTAATGATAGTCATAAGGTACAATAAGCAATCAAATCATACTAGGAAACAGTCAATAACAATCGTAAGGATACAAGCGACAAAGTTACAGTCATACAGTTACAAGTGGCTGTATTCCCATCAATAACTGGCAGCCCATTGTTAAAAACCAAGATGCTTGACTACATAGGCCTTTAAACTAATCTAATATTGTTATACTGCTAATCCTCAACTTACAACCGTTCATTTCGTGACTGTTCAAAGTTACAATGGCACTAAAGAAAGTGACTTATGACCATTTTTCACTTTTACCACCTTTATAGCATCCCCATGGTCATGTGATCAAAATTTGGACACTTGGCAACTGACACACATGTATGATGGTTGCAGTGTCCCATGTGATCAGCTTTTGCAACCCTTTGACAAGCAAAATCAATGGGGTAGCCAGATTCACTTAACAACCATGTTACTAACTTAACACTTGCAGTGATTCACTTAACAACTGTGGCAAGAAGGGTCGCAAAATGAGGCAAAATTCACTGAACAAATGTTTCACTTAGCAACAGAAATGTTAGGCTCAATTGTGGTCGTAAGTCGAGGAGTACCTGTATACATCAGCCAGAGTTGTTGAAAAGCACTTTTAGGCACAGAAGCTGCTACACATTCAGGAATGCATTTACCAACAATCTCTGTTTAAACTAAGCATAAAGATGGATCTCAGTCCAATCAGTAGGAGGCTGAACAGCCTTATCATGAAGAAAAGATTGAAATAAGTTTTAGACCAGGTCTGTCACACTCATAGCCCACAGGCCAGATGTGTCACGTGCTGGCCATGCCCACACTCAGTTTAGCAAAAGGAGAAAACATTGTGATAAGTTTGACACCCCTGTTTTAGACTGTTAGCTTCATCTAGCATACTAGTAACCCCAGGTACCTGTAAGTAAGTATCACTTAGCGATTTAGGCAAACATGCATTTTTCCTAACTTCTTTTTTTACAGAAATCACTGAGGCACAAGCGAGGTAGCACTTAGACTTATATACCACTTCACAGCCCTCTCTAAGCAGTTGACAGAGTCAGTCTATTGCCCCCAACAATCTAGGTCCTCATTTTACCAATCTCGGAAGGATGGAAGGCTGAGTCACCCTTGAGCCGATGAGAATCGAACTGCCGAACTGCTGGCAGCCGGCAGTCAGCAGAAGTAAGCTGCATTGCATTCTAACCACTGCGCCACCACAGCTCTCAGGTAAACAAGTATGGTTGGCTAGACCATGCACCAATGCAAGGAAAGTATAAAAACAGACATATTTGATGCTATTTTCATCTAGTAAGGGGACCATAGCTAACTGTATAAACGGTGTGACTCATATAATATAAACTGTTGCTTCCCATACTGGTTGAATCAGAAATGAATAATGGTAAACCTGAAGGGCATGTTGATTTTAATATTTTTGTTTCATCTGAAGTTCTCTATGTGGTTTTTTTCTAATTCCTACCTTACATAAAGGATAGTTATCTTTAAAAAATGCATCTATGAGCAATGAAGTTGCTCATCAAAACCCAAATCTATGTAGCCAAAGTAAAATAGGCCACAAGTTGTGGTCCATAATATTGCAGTTGCCAATCTTCAATGGTTTTTTTTTCATTATTCTGTAAGCCTTTGCCCAACTTGATGCTCTCCAACATTTTGGACAAGAAGCAAATCACCCTAATTAGTACAAAAATTGCAGGAGATGGTAGATTTGGACTTCAATACATTTACATGGTATTATTTGTAAAAAAAACAACAACTGCTATTTACCAACAACCTTAAATATAGTATATATAAATTCCTCTACACCACAATAACTGATTATGCTTTCCACAATAATCATCTCCAAAGGTGGTATTCAGCAGGTTCTGATCAGTTCTGGAGAACCAGTAGCAGAAATTTTGAGTAGTTTGTAAAACCAGCAAATACCACCTCTGACTGGAGATTTTACAGTATCCTTCCCCTGCCACGCCCACCAAGCCACGCCCACAGAACTGGTAGTAAAAAAATTTGAATCCCACCACTGATCCTTCTTATGTCCCAAAGATGTTTTTTTCCCCAAGAAGCAACTAGACTTTCTGTTTTTTCTTTGAAGATGTTTCACTTCTCATCCAAGAAGCTTCTTCAGCTCTGACTGGATGGTGGGGGAATAGAAGTCAGAGCTGAAGAAGCTTCTTAGATGAGAAGCGAAACATCTTCAAAGGAAAACCAAAAAGTCCAGTTGCCTCTCTTGGGGGAAAAAATCACCTTTGGGAGAACCATGACCTGGATGACGGAGAATCTCCCTAGACATCCCTCCTGGGTGTTCCAGATTTGAATACAAATATTATCAATTAGGTTTATTATCTATTAAACTTGACTGCCGTGGAATTACTCCTATTCTGAACACTTGACAACAAAATGCAATCCTATACAACGTGATTTTTAAAAATATTTCTATCCAGGCTCTTAATGGCAGAAAGCGATTCTCAACTTTTAACTAACTTGACAATTAGACTGTCAC